CCTGCTGATTCTCAGGCCACGCACAGTAGGTAGCCAATCACCTTTTATCTGATGAATGTGAGAACGATGCTTAATGTGAAGGCATACACCCAAGTCAGTAGACAGGCCCATTGCGAACCATGTTAGAACCGGGTGGTGAGTGCAGAGGTGACTGTACAGTGTCAGGCGGGAAAAGGAAAGCTAACACAGGCGCACACACTGTGTGACGCTCCCCACACGTGTGTACCCTGGCGAGAGAGGATTACGTTCCTTTTAAAATTTTTTTAAAAATCCTCACCAGAGGATATTTTTCCTTTGATTTTTAGGGAGAGTGGAAGACAGAAGGAAAGACAGAAAGAAACATCGATGTGAGAGAAACACATCGATTGGCTGCCTCCTGCACCAGCCCCAACCAGGCCCTGGGCCAGGGAGGAGCCTGCAACCAAGGTACGTGCCCTTGACCGGAATCGAACCCGGGGACCCTTTAGTCCACAGGCCAACGCTCTATCAGCTGAGCCAAACCGGCCAGGGTGGGATTACATTCCTAAAGAGCAGGGGCGTGCTGTCTGTCATGAGAGAGCTGTGCCCAGGCGGGTGAAGTCCCCTCTCCTGAAGGTGTTTAAGCGGAGGATGACTTGGTGAAATGGTCTCTCTCTGGGCTAAGGTAGAAACCATAGAAACCTGCAAGAGTGCTTCGCTCCTGGGCTTTGGTGCCCGGACGCACTGATAGGCGTTCAGCCTTCCAAATGGTGCAGCCGTGATTGGGCACGAATCCTGTAAGTGTCAACAATGCCTGTAAACCGACTGCATGTGAGGTGGGTCCTGTGAAAAAGGAAGGAGAACTGGGGTCAAGGGTATGTGCCCGGGTCACATACCTCTGCTCTGTGTAAGCTGTGCGATTCCAGGAAGGGGGGAATGCCTGGGACCACATTTCTCTTGTCTTTCCAAGACCAGCTGGGGTGTTACCAACTTCCCACTTCTTCATGTTCGTTCCCCCTTAAGATCTTTCTAGGCTGCGTAATTCCATTATGTAGGTGGATTTTTGACTTCCCATATTATTTGATTTGGGGAGGGAGAGGGGAGGAGGAGGAAGGAAGTCTATGTAAGCCTTTCCTCGCTAACTAGCTGGAAACTGCTGGGCAGTGGGGCACACCAAGATTGTGCTTTATCTCTTCACAGACCAACCTCCCCATGCCCACCATGCATCTAGTATGGGGGCTGCATATAGGGGGTGTTTGGTGTGGCCTTGTTGACCCTGAGGCTTTTGTTGTCATAGGGGTGCGGAAGCCAGTGGGTGTGGGGAAGTCTGAGGGCAGAAGTTAGGTTTGGGAAGGAAGGTGTGCATAGGGTGGCCAGAAGAGCAAGGAAGTGGTGAGTGAAAGAAGGAGGCCAAACCCACAATCTATTGTCCACGTTGTGTCCATGTGTCCCATTGGCTGTATTGAGCCCTCAATAGAGTGAGCCTGGATTCATGGCCTGGATGGAGACATGCAAGAAAGAGTGACCATAGCCACTTCAACACGGCGAATTGACCTGCTGGTCAGGTGCCCTTCTCCTGGGCCAGCCCTGTTAGGTGCTCTATGTTCTGAACCATGAGTCGTGGATAATATGGAAGGGATAATGGCCAAAGAGCTATGGGCAAAGAGCATGGAGAAATCTGGAGGTGGTCCCCGATCCTCCACTGTCGGTAGCCTTATCCCAAGGGTCTCATGGACACAGGGATTTAGAAGACCCCAGGCCTGCAGCTGTGTTGAAATGAGCCTTGATCCCTAACTACTACCTCCACCCCAGGCTGACCACTGCCCCTCCCTGGGAGACACCCTCACCCATTGGCCCTGCACACTGGCACTGTACTCCATGGTGAGCAGGAAGGAATTGACAGCTTTCCAGAAGAATAGCCCTGCCCTTACCCCCTCCCATCTGAGGTGGCCTGGATGCTGGATCCCAGACTCAGCCAAGGGCATAGGAGAGGAAGAAGGGGAGGGGGAGGGAGAGAGGGAAGAGGAGGAAGAGGGAGAGCACAGAGAGACTGATTTAAGACTGAGCAGGGGTCTAGCCGGTTTAGCTCAGTGGATAGAGGACTGAAGGGTCCCAGGTTCGATTCTGGTCAAAGGCACAAGGGGATCAAGCCTGGGTTGCGGGCTCGATCTCCAGTGGGGGGCATGCAGGAGGCAGCTGATCAATGATTCTCTCTCATCATTGATGTTTCTATCTCTCTCTCTTCCTTCCTCTCTGAAATTATATATATCTATTAGAGGCCTGATGCATGAAATTCATGCAAGAGTAGGCCTTCCTTCCTCCGGCTGCCGGTACCGGCTTCCCTCCAGCACCCAGGACCCGGGCTTCCCTCACAGCCCCAGCTTCATCTGGCAGGACGCCCGGAAGGACATCCAGTCTAATTAGCATATTACACTTTTATTATTATAGATATATATTAAAAGACTGAACAGGAACAGGAGGCAGAGTTCAGAGACAAGTGCAAAGTCTCTTCCTTTTTCTCTTCCTTCCCGCCCCACCCCTAGCCCTGTGGATGGTGACTATGTCCTGGGCACTGGCGGCTGCGGTGGGAGGGAAGCAGAGAGGCACAGAGGGCCCAGGCACTTGCAGGGACTTCCAGCAGTGAGCGGTGTGCTTGGGGGAGTAGAAGCCCATGAGCAACGGCCCCTCCTCGGTGATCGTGTGTGTGGCCTTAAATAGGCTGCAGCTCAGTCTGGCTCCTGAGCAGAGGCCCTGATCCTCTCCCTTACTGTCTCTATGACTTAGACACATCATCTTCCCTTTCACTGCCTCAACTTCCTCATCTGTAAAATGGGTATCCTACCACCACTCCTATAGGCAAGTCAAATGACACTACCACGAGGCAGCACTTTGCAAACTGTTCTTTGATGCTGGACTTGGCAGAGACAGAGCACAGGGACCCCCACAGCCGTGCTGGGGGTCTCCCAGAGACAAGGGGGACTAGAGTCTTGGATCTTTTGTACTGGCCATAAGAAACCGGGAGCTGAGGGAGTGTGGGGAGATGAGTGTAGGAGGAGTGGGGGAGGTGAGTACAGGAGGAGCGGATGGAAAATCAGGCAGAGGAACCACGCCCCTCGCTGCCTCTGGTTTATCTGGTCACTTACCCCTGGTTGGGAGCTGCTTCCCTTCCAGAGGCGGCCAGGAGCACAGGGTCCTTGGAGCCTCAGGCGTGATATTTTTATGGAGATGGTGTTTGGGGACTCGGGAGGAAAACGGCCCTCTGGCACCATCTCAGTCTTGGCCATCTCTAAAAATACGATGTGATGCGGCTAATGAGAAAGCACAACAGGCCTGGCTTGGCATGACCTAATATAGCCTGGCATTCAAACCGAGCCAGGACGTGAATGGGGACTTATAATTGAAAACACAAGATGTCTCCGATGGGATGGCAGGCAGCCTGCTGCGCTCCCTACGGGGGTGCTGTGGGGATCTGAGTGGAGGACCTGGGGGTTCTCTTGGATGTACCCCTGCCGGTGGGGCTGGGGCCTGGCTGAGAGCCCCGCTTACCCACCCTCTGGCTAGAGGGTTGGCATCAAGCTGACCAGCCCCATTCACTCTGTGAGGAAGGGCAG